TATCCGAGACTCGGAATGATGAAGAAACGACCAAACAACAACAGACCACCCAAGCATCTAACGAGATTAGGATCACCTGATGTCACCTCATCATTGCCCGGACAATCCATGTACACGTTCAAATGTAACAAGAAGGGAAAAATAATGGAAAACCAATCGAAATAATGTCCAAAAACATTTTGCAAGAGAAATTTGTTCGAACATGGGCAAATGACTGGGAACCCTTCCCCCCACTACGTTTCTTCAACCACTCCCTTTGCCACAAAAAAGTACAGTTGCTGAGAACATGTGCGGGCCAGAGCCGTTTTTGCCGCACGCATTTTGCGAATCCACCAGCTGGTCGTTTGCCCACAGCCACCCCGAAGTTTGCAGCTGTCCTTAAAATGGAAGAAGTCAGTGAAACAGCGAGTCCAGTGTTCGAAGATACAGAAGTTGCAAAACGATAAAGGTAGTTATGTAGACATAACTGATACAGTAACTAATGAACATGCAGAGATATAAAGATGTTTTTTTTTGAAATCAAACCTGTAGATATTGGTTATATGCATAGGGACATGGCACACACACACTCACACACATATAGACACATATTATATCATATCATATCATATTATACTATATTAAATTATTTTATATCATTATATGTATACATTGTACATTATACATTATATCTATATGCATGCTATATTACATAAACAATCACACATATGATGTAATATGATAATATTGAAGATATAACATGATAATATCATATACAATCAGAACATTATACATCATATATAACATTGTACATCATATTTATCCCACTAATCATCCATTGTACATTTAGCAGCTCTGATAAGATTATATATACATATATATATGATATTATACTAATTATCCACTATATTATCCATTATACTAATTATCCATATAAAATCACAAGATTATATCAGGTTGGTGGTTTCAACCCCTCTGAAATATATTAGTCAATTAGGATTATTATTCCTAATATACGGAAAAATAAAAAAGGTTCCAAACCACCAACCAGATATTATCCATTATACTAATTATCCAAACAAAATATGTGATATTGCAGCGTGGGCACAAGGAGCTCCCCGTTGACAACTCGTAAAAAACGATGTGGTCAGAAAACAGTCATCGGAAGATGAAAACCATGAAAACCTGACACCTTCGGCTGAAGGTGTTTTCTTAGGAAACAAGATCCGTTCATTACACATAAATGGCTAAAATAATGCTTAAATGTATTTAAATGTTGCTTCAACTTCACAAATTCCATCATTTGCTGCATCTCATTCCATCTCAACGCCTCAATTTGCTCTTGAAAGCCAGAAGTCTTTGGGATCTTTGGGCACACGGGCATGTATACTGAAACACCACTATGATCCATATCTACAGCTATCTCTGTATAAGCATTAATGGCATCCGCATATACCGTACCTTCTCTTTTTCTGTCTCCATCTATCTACGTAACTACCCGTCCATCTATCCATACAGCCATCCATCTTCCTACATATTCGTATCCATCCAGCCATATGACATTTACAACATGTTCACTGGCAAATCTTCATCTCAAAAATCATACATAATCATATGAAAATCATATCATCACACATACCCTCCAGTAAATTGAGATAGACCCTGCCAGATAGGGGTTGGAAGATTAGTTTTCATTAAAAATGGGTTATTTCAGGGTCCAACTGTTAATTTACCAGGGGATTATCATAGCATTTCAGCCAAGCCTCGTCCCCACATCAGCTGAGGCGAAAGAGGACGTCTTGGGCGCGCTGGGCGCTGAGGTAAGCAGCACCTGGAGCATGGGATCAAGGTCTATGGATCCCATAGGATACATACATAATGGTATTATAGCTTACATAGAACATACAACATCCATAGAATTGGATCCACATATATAGTCATTGCTAGGACCTGGTAGGATAAAAAGAATACAATCCATACATACAACATCAGCATACATTATAGTCGTATTCCCGTAGGATATTATATGAATATATTCATTGATTCAGAGATATCATGCAACATCAGCGAACAAGCACAGAGACATCCAAAAGACCAAGGACAAAGAACAAGAATAAGAACCAAATAAAGAATAAGAAGAAGAGCAAGAAGAGAGGTGACAAGAACTCAAATGTGCACACATGTAGCCAAGTTCACAACCACCACTATTCTTTTTAAGACGTCCATTCTGAAGATCTCCTTGGCCAAATCAAATGGACATGGTTCCAATGAGGAGTATATAGCAAGGTTTTCAGACTTGTCACGCGGAACTATGGAGAATCCAACATGTTCCCAAGCTCAAAATTTCCTCGTGGTCCAGTGTCCCAAAGAAACGCTGTCAATGGATATCAATGGTTTATATTATGCTTCAAACTGCAGTGCGTCGAAAAACGATGCAACCTTTACCTGAGGGATTCGACCCAATTACCCACTAGGCCGTGCACGGCCTGAAGCATTATCCAAACTCCTGGGAACACCTAAATATGATCAAATATGTATAAATATGTAAATACCATGCAAATGAACATCGATATTTTGTAAATTCCACCACGAAAATCAACAATTCATCAAGGATCCAACAGCTGGCAATGGAAAACCAATCCGCTTGTCTCTGCCTTGTCCCTTGCCGCCCTTGCCACTGGGTTGCCTTGGTATCCAGGAATCCAAGTTTCGATCCTTTCGAAGAGTTCCGTAGGATTAACAGATGGGTTTGTCTGAAAATAGGGTAATTACCCCAATTCAAAAGCCGATGGTTCATCAACATTTTTCCGATTTAACTAGGCATAAATTGAGGTATCACCATTTGCAGACAACCCCATGTATAAACCAAACACATGCAACTAGAACGTAGACGTTGTATAGATAAAGCTCTTGATTGAAAACCATCAACAAAAACAAATTTGAATATCCTAAACGCATAGGCAGCTTCAGCCCCACGTTCCATCGCCATGCCAGTGCTATGATGGTTTTCCTCTGGGAACGTAAGCAAGCTCCTGCGTCCGTGGCTGCCACAAATCGGGCACATCTATGTGTCACAATTAAACGGTCACGTTTCTTCACCAACGCAGGAATTTATAATTTTGAAAAAGAGCCATCACACACAACCTTAAACGAAGGAAATCTGCCGTTTCCCGGTATGTAAAGTCCTCATTTTGATGGCAAAACCAGCGAATTGTCCCCACTTTTTCGGGGTGTGGAAAGCCGCTGCCAAGTCACCCTTTCCCCTGCCCTTTCCCTCGCTTCTTCCGCCGTCGCCGCCGCTTCGGCGCATCGTCGCCCACGTCCCCGTCGCTCACCTGGCGCCAGCGGTCACAAGTTCTGAGGTGGTCAGGGTGCATGGACAGCATGGCACGCGGCGTGTCAAAGCACAGATTACATAAATCACACCACATAAGATCAAAGTAAGATCAAAGTCAGATCAAAACAATATCTAAAGAGTCCTAAAGAGAATACCTAAAGTTTTTAACACGTTCATAGCCAACCCAAACTGAACCATTTCGAACCATTTCGTTGAATTTGTGCATCTCCCGAAACGAAAAGCACGGCACCTCCGAGACTTCTGCCAGAAGCTCCTCCCAGGGCAGCTCCATGGCACTTTGCCCGTGACCTCGGCCATCTCGGCCATGGATCCGTGAAGATCCAGCTATTTGCTGATGGAAATCTAGGGGATATGGATAAAATATGGATGGAACGGATATTCCATCAAAATGGAATATCCAAATTCCATATGGCCATATTATGGCCATATATTCCATCACCATGGTCCGACTGGCCTTTGTTTTTGGACGCTAAATGAATAACACATACAGTATGATACATTAAATCATTGCATATCCGCTGACCCCAAATCAAGTTGAATCCCTATTTTCATGGCAATAGGTTTAAGTTGACCTCTAGATATTGGGATGTGACCGATCTAGATATTCTATATATATATATTCTATATATACTATATTATATATTGTATATATATATATATATTCGGTGGGAGAATCATCATGAATCATCAGCAAAAATGGGATATTCTATGCGTTTTCATGATCGAATTTTAACCAATCGAGTCGTGGTCCACACCACATTCCGCAGGGGCGGATCATCCCAACCGTCCCAAGTGGCGAGGATCCAATCACCAGCTTCGTATCCAAAGTGCTGAAAAACTTCATGTCCTCAAGATCTCAAGAAACTTCCAGGTTGGTGGTTTCAACCCCTCTTAAAAAACTTATAGTATATGGAAAACTTATAGCTGGTTGATGGTGCAATAACCATCTTGAAAAATATGAAAGTCAATGTGAAGGATTATCGTCCCCTATAGGTGTGGTGTTGTGACCTGCTGGCAAAACCAACGGTTTTAAAAGTTTTAAAGTACTAGAAAAACTAAAAGGCCTCACAAAGCATGATGATTAACCCCAAACTCAGGAATTAAACTTAAACCTTTATTCCTCCCACGTTTTTGTGATTTCCCCATGGACCCATCATATTTCAGCGGCATTCTTTCGGCCCATGGGCCCATGAAACAGTACGGCACGTGCCGGAGCATACGTCGCTGAAACCATGGCTCGCCAGGGTGGCGACTTCAAACAAACCCTGCGAAGCACGTGATTCGATGAAACTCGGCCGCTCACGATTTAAACAACCATCTGTAGCCATCGGGGTTTGTTCCCCAGAGTTGGTGAAAGATTGAAACGAATTGCTAGGTGGTTTGCTTCTTTTTTTTCACATTTGTTCTGAAACAAATCCAGTTGGGCATTATCCCAGTGAGCTTCGTGGTGGCGATTGTCAGAGCACAGGGCTGAACTGCTTGGCAGTCAGTTGGCGCCCAAACAGAAGGGCAGAATGGGGATGCAGCAGCCCGCAACATCCTGATGCCTACTTCGATAGCTACATGGGAACTTTCAACATCCATTCGTATCCAGTAGTAATATTGTAATAGTAATGACTTTCTCCTTCACTTCCTTACCGAACTCAAAACCCAAAAACTGATTGGTCATATTGCCTCATATGGCCAAAGCAGGGCTGCCACCACCTTTAAAAAAGGAATCTGACAATCTGACAAAGAATAGCCATCTTGTGCCATTCCTCGAATTCGAATAAACTTGCATAATCTCCAGCTCCCGCTGTGATATTCTTCGGACGCAGGACCCGTGGATGTCAACAGCAGCAACCACAGGTTGTTTGAACCCCTTGGATCTTCTTCAGCATCTCTTCACCTCACCAAGACGCCATGCTGGGTATGTAAGGCTTAGATATACTAAACATAATTACAACCTGTTCAATTTTTGGGTGACTCTGGTTTACTGTTGAGCTTAAAGATCATTGTTCATCAGAGCTGTTAGGAGGTCCCGGCGCTTATTTCCTGAGAGGGGTTGCATTTTGGAGCCTCAGATTTTCAGGTTTGCTGAGATAATTTTGCGTGACAGGTGCAGCACTTCGTATGACCTTTCATCACTTCTTCGTGGCAGGCGCAATAATTTAGACAGATGGACTGGAAAAATCGCAAAACGCATTGGTACGAGGCCGTCAGCTCTGCACTCAACTTTCCATTTTTGAAGGACATCTCGCAGAATTGCTTCGTTTTTGATCTTGTCAACTTAGAAAAATGAAGAAGTCTCGCAGAATTGCTTCGTTTTTTGATGTTGTCAAGTGCAAAAAATGAGGAAGTCTCGCTGAATTGCTGCGTTTTTGCTGTTGTCAAGTTAAAAAGCTAAGGCAGTCTCGCAGAATAGCTTCGTTTTCAAGCAGATAGATAGATAGATAGACAGACAGACAGACAAACAGATAGATAGATAGATAGATAGAAAGATAGATAGAGAGATAGGGAGATAGAGAGAGAGAGAGAGATAGATAGATAGATAGATAGATAGATAGATAGATAGATGAGATAGAGAGATAGAGAGAGAGAGAGATAGAGAGATAGAGAGAGAGAGAGATAGATAGATAGATAGATAGATAGATAGATAGATAGATGAGATAGAGAGATAGAGAGAGAGAGAGAGATAGAGAGATAGAGAGAGAGAGAGATAGATAGATAGATAGAAAGATAGATAAATAGATAGATAGATAGATAGATAGATAGATAGAGAGATCGAGAGATAGAGAGAGAGAGATAGATAGATAGAGAGATAGATAAATAGAAAGATGGATCGATAGATAGATAGGTAGGTAGATAGGTAGATAGGTCATTAGATGAAAGAGAGAGAGAGAGAGAGAGACAGAGAGATAGATAGATAGATAGAAAGATCGATAGATAGATAGGTAGATACATAGATAGATAGGTAGGTAGCTAGGTAGATAGTCAGAGAAAGAGAGAGAGAAAGAGAGGAGACATCAACAACCTTTCGGTCCATCAGTGGCTTCGCTCTCCCATCCGTGATTCACAACAACCAACCTCTCCTATAGGTTTCCCATTTTTGAAACTTCCGCCACCGCCTTGTGCGGTACTACTGGTACAAAAAAACAAAAACAAAAACAAAAAACAACAACAACAACAACAACACCACCACCACCAACAACAACAGCAACAGCAACAGCAACAGCAACAACAACAACAACAAAAACAACAACCAACAACCAGCAACCAACAACCAACAACCAACAACCAACAACCCACAACCAACAACCCACAACCAACAACCAACAAACAACAATCAACAAACAACAAACAATAACAAACGACAACAACAACAACAACAACAGCAACAGCGAGAGCAACAGCGAGAGCAACAGCAACAACAACAACAACAACAACAACAGAGAAGCAAAGCCGCAAAAAGCAGGAATTAAACAACAGAGAAGCAAAGATCGCCAAAAGGCAGAAAACAAACAGAAACCCAATACTTAGAAGAAAACACGCAAAGGAGCCAAAACGCAGAGAAGCAAAAAAACAAAGAAACAAACCAGGAAAACAACACAAGAAACAAAAACGCAGAGAATCCGAAAAGCAAAGCAACAAAAAGCCAGAAAAGCTGCAAAGCGGAGGGGCAAACATCTTCTCCTCCAAAAAATACCTGCAGAAACATCTGCCAGGTCCCCCGACGTGTAATGAGTTGAAGCTCGGTGGCCATGAAGTAACAACCAAAGTCCTGGAGGCTGAGCTGCCCATTTTTCGGCTCACTCTATTTCCAATGTTAAGTCCTCCAGTGAAAATCACCTGTGAAAACGGAATCCATATGTTCATAGGTCAAATCCATGTTGACATGGTTTCTCCAATATGTCCATCTCGCTCTCCAAGGTTGGTCAAACCCTGAAAAATCTTATCGATTTCGCGACATCTTTTCACGGTTGAATCCCCATCCTTTCATGATTGCGTCTCCATTTGTTTAAGGTTAAACTAACATTTTTCCGTGCTTAGACCACCATCTTTTCATTTTACTGTAAATCGAATCCTCTCATAGTTGGACATCATGAAAAACAATTTTCAGCTAGCTCACCACCTAGCTCCATATAAGGGATTTCTCTTGACTCATGATTTACTTGATTTATATATTTATCAATTACTTTTCATGGGTAAATCCCTAATTTCCCAGCTCCAAGCAGCACTGGCAGCCCTCTCCTGGTACAAGTTCACTTCCTGTGGTACTTCGAAGCTACGCAGCAGCTCTTTGAGGGCCCAGCGCTGGTAGCTGCTACGGCAGCACTTGTTGAAGCCTGTGATGTAGGATGGGCCGTTATAGTCACTGCGCAGCACCGCCATATAGCCTCAATCAAGCGGAGGCTACATTTGGGGCCTGGGGGTGAAAACTTTTTTGGTAAAATGGAAGATGTTCAGAAGGGCACTAAAAATAGATGCTAATTGGTGGTTTCAACCCCTCTGAAAAATATAGGTCAGTTGGGATCATTATTCCCAGTATATGGAAAGTCATAAAAGCCCATGTTCCAAACCACCAACCAGGATGGATCCGTAAATCCGGTTGAAGTTCTACTATGCAGCGTTTTTCAAAATGCGGGGGATCATAGAACTGAGGCTTTTTTTGAGCTCATCCTACGGAGTCCTAATCCTCACATCAGCCATTTCTTTTTACCTCAATGAATAAAGGTATGACTAGCCCCAATTTGGACATTATATACATATATATATATATATATATACATATCAACTTTTGACCAAATATTGGTACCATTATATCTAATATATACTTATACCTCATTGATCATATATACAAACAATAAAAGTTGGATATAAAAATATACTTGTACCATCCAACTTTTGACCATGGCAGGTATCCATCATCCCAGCCACAGGGCCAAGCAGCCTTCCGTCTTATACTCGACACCTTCTCCGCCCTGATCAAGGGTGTACAAATACGCCTGCCGTTGTGGGCCATGGCATGTGACAAAAAAACACACGAAAAGATTCCCTGGGCCGAAAACACTGTTTGAACCGACATGTATGTATCTACATTTACCTACACATCTATATCTATATTTATATCTCTATCTATATATATATATTTGTACATTTAAGTGTTTTCCCCGTCCTTTAACAATCATGGCACCAGAAACTGGAGCGGATAGCCTTCACTTCATGCTTGCCCTCTGCGTCCCACTGCAGCCTGACAGTCATAATGCAGCCTGTGATAGTTTCAACGAGTTTAAGTTCTTGTGTGCATAAATGTGTGTATAATAAATAAATAAATAAAGATATATATATATATACGCAATTATATGTATAATATACTTTTATTAAATGAATCTTAGTATTGGGTGAAATAAATCTATGCATAAGGTAAATTTATGCATATCAAAAACTGTTGAATTGTACCGCATGTGAAAAACACACACGCACACGTATAGATGTATGTACATGAATCAAAAGCCGGCAGCCTGGTCAAATGATTTTCCAGGATTTTCCCATCGACATGTCGAGCACGGATTCAAGTTGAAATCACCGGATGGAGTTCAGGGTAGACTGCTGTCACACAACCAAGGTTGACCATGTCCAAAAGACAAAGAACACGCTTTGTAGGCGGAGTACATTGTCTTGCCAATTTTCAGTTTTAACTTAGTCCTGGATTTCAAACCCATCTAAGCACACGCATATATGGAAAAACCAGGCCTCATCGATCAGCCAATTCTGATTCCAGTCAGCTGCCCTTCTGGGTGCCAAATCCAATACTAGCTAAAAAACAAAAAAACAAACATATTGATCATTTTGATGATATTGGTATTGGGACTATTGGGGAAGGGCCTAAACTCGTAAAGCATCCACAAATGGTAGGTTTGTGGCATTGGGTTTTCCACATTCAATCTTCCATTTTCCATGCAACTCTAACGGCTACATCTCAGACCTGGCGGTAGGCGTGCTGCCAAGCTGCCCTTTGCTTCCCAAAACGAGGTACATGATGCCGATGAAGGGAGCCATCATTACGTCCGCCAGGTTGCAAAGCAGGGCGAACATGACGAAAAAGATACCTAGGTGGCAACACAAACAGCAGCGCTTAAATAGAAGGATTGAACCAGGGGTATATATAATCATATATAATCATGGATAATCATCAAAAATAGGATTTTGATAGATTTGAACCCAACAATCCAATCATTGGGATGATTCAAGGGAAAATCTGACCATGGGGGAAAACTTATGGTGTTCCTATGTTTTCCTGTATGTTTTCTCTTAAGCCAATGACAGAAGGAATGATTGAAAAGCAGCCCGGAGGACCCAACGTGAAATTGCGATATCACTTATTGGCCAATGATGAGGGAATTACTAACCCCATCATGTCCCAACTAGAGGGCTTGCAAACTGAGCGGAGCACCATACTTGTACTCATTCACCGGCAAGTCTTACCTCGCCCACTTTGTTCAGCCAAGAGAAAGTATGGAAAGCTGGGCATTTCCGTCAAAGAAAATCTCATCACCAGTAAATACCCATTGCTTCCATTAACATAGAACTTTATCCCCATTATACCCCCATTATCTAGGATGTTTCAGTTCCAGTCAAACATATACGCCCTAGAACCTGACAGCCGCATATCCAAGGTGCCAACGGGAAACAGTGGATAGCGCCGGCCACAATACCAGAACCAGGTGCCCCATTGCCAATCCTGAGACTCGACTGCCACGCAGCAAAAAAACACGAATCTGGAGATGTAACAGGCATCAGCCGGGCCTAGTGGCCTCTCAGTGTGAGTCCCAATCATTATGGCGTGGGCACCAAGTGTCGCAAAAGTACAGTGGCACCCGTCCATCAAAGTGGATGAACACTTGGACCCACTTCTGCGAGAGCTGCGGGGGATCTGTCTCCTGGGGTACATGGGGCAAGTTGAGAAAAAATGGAAAATGGGCAATACATTTGGAATATTTAGATACAATGTGGGAAATCAATGTATGCAGTAGTTACAGTAGTTCGAATTTTGCATCAAGTGGATCACATTAAACCAAGAAAAACATGGATGAAATCAGAGGCTGAACACATGACTATCAAAGACCGACGAGGATATTTACAAGATATTGCTGTTCAAACATTGCACTTTCCCTTGGATCGGATTGACCAAAACGAGAGGTTAACAAAAACCTGCCTGTCTAAATGAGGAAAATCATGATCATCCATTAGACCTTGGGGTTGTAAGTTATAAAGTCCACTGAAAAAGGATCATCCCACTTGGCAACTGGGTAGTAAATCTAGTTAGGGAATCCCCATGTAGTAAGTTATCTCATGTATATCTCATATTATAACTGGTGAATTTCAAACCCCAACACTCCACATCTCGTTGTGTTCACCATGGGCCACGTCGGAAAGCGTCGTCCTCGCCGGCGCCGCGGCGAAAGGTCTCCGCGCTGATGGCCAGGGCCGCTGCTTTGACGGCCTCCATGCGCTCGTTGGGACAACTGCGCGGTTCCAAGGACTTCGGCGTGACGTAGCCTCGGGCGTGGCCATCCATGCTGGAAACTTCGTTGGGCCAATATACCATCATGGCAAAGGATTAAGTTACTGTAGCCATCTAAGGTAGGCCCATGATTCATGGGAGGAGGCTAAATGACAAATGTATATATACGTATATATATATATATGGGTTGCATCTGCATTTTTGTTTGGATTACATCATGTTAGACAAGCCCAAGGAGAAACGAAACTGCGAAATGATGTTTTCTTTTTTTCCCGAACGTACCAGATCGGGGCCTATAAAAACAACAAATCAGCAAAGGCGGCTCTCGGAGTGATTTCAGTGGGCCTTGTTACGGTTTTGATTTCTTCAAAAAGGGATGGGACCATTTTGAACGCCAGCTTGTTCTTCAAAAAGGGCCTACGGATCCATCCCGAATCCCCATACTTTCATGGTGTTACGGTAAAATGGGAAGCTGGGAGGCCAGCCAAAGGAAACGAGTTATGAAAGTGAAAGGTCAATCAAAAGTCATCAAGATAAGCAAATGATCATAAGCATTCATGAATTATCATTTGGAGGTTTTGCTCATTCGGAGTGTCCTTTTGCAATTTCAAGTGCCTTTATGCAGCATTTTCAATTTTTTTGGGGGTAGAAAAACAGAAATCGTAGCCCTCTACTTGGTGGTTAAAACCATGGTCGCCTTTGCATTTCCATCAGCTGGAGCCCCCCAAATCTGATGGCATCTTGCCCATCACGGCCTAAATGCTGCCCGCTTCAGTCGCACACATTTTTGGTGATTGGGAAAACTCCCTTTCGAATCTTTGTACCGCCAGTAGATGAAAGCAAAGTTGTGACGCGGGATGATGCTTGAAGATGGTTGCCTGACCCATTCGACTTGATCTAATTTCAGGAAACCAGCCACAAGCTGTTTAGTAAATCACTCAGTATTCGCATCTGAACGATCCTCAAATATTCCACCAAAGGTAAAGTATGTAAGGTCTTCTTTCCCGGGGAAATGTGGCCAATGGATCCTGGAGAACGCCTTCTGGCTGAGTGGCTGCGCGCCAGCTCCTTAAAACCTGCAGTGGATGTGCAGCCCAGTCAGTTGCACTTATATGGGACCATTTGGGGCATTTTTAATATTAGGGGGATATGATAGGATTGTTTATTTCCCCATTGCTTATCTCACCTACCATTTCCAGACAAATAGAGGAAACAAGACTGTCAACGGATAAACCCTTAAATCCACAATTCTACCAGTAGGCTTCTGCAATGCCGCTGAGAAAATCTCACTACTTGGTCGATTTCAGTGGCCACGTTTGCTGAACGAAAACGGAACCCACTTCCCTTGGGCTCCCTTTGGCAATGAAAGGAACATGAAACACTTTTCAAATGGCACACCATATGTAAGCCATAAACCATCCCCACTGACCTACCTGCAATTCAGGGTTGGGGCAGAACCATTCCCAATTGACAGTTTACTGCAACATAGTAACTCCACAAGATTCAGAAACGTGATCCACTGTACGACTATTTTAGAATCGAAGACATCACAACTGTCAGATCTTTGGGTGTTGCTATACCGCTATACTCAGTTTACCCTCTGGTAAACTAACATAACTATGGAAAATCACCATTTGTAATGGGAAAACTCACTATAAATGGCCATTTTCAATAGCTATGTTAGTTTACCAAAGTTATCCATCTCCAACCAGCAGCCCACACTGTGCACCTGTAGCATCGCCTGATGTCAGAAGCGTGCGCAGAGCGCTGAGCGAAGTGGAGCTGGGATCCTCCGCCGAAAACTTGGGGCAACCGCCATGAACGCCATGAAGCATGAACGTTAATGTATATACATACAAATATACAAATATATATATATAGTAATATATATATAGTAATATATATATAGTAATATATATATAATATAATACATATAAATATATACACAATCTTTTATGGACATACATACATGCACACACACATATCAATTAAGTATATATATATGTTTTATGTATGTATATATATATATACACACTATATTAATAGAAACAAACATATGTCAATATTATTGTTGCATGCATGTAGCTCATGTAGTTCAGTCTGTATGCATGAAAATACATGCACATTCAACAGCAGCTATGCCAGTAAGTTACTCATCCAGTGGGAACATTTCTCCGTTGGCGCCTCGCTGCCTGGCGCCACGATCTCCAAGGCCAGAGAGTCCTTGGACACCGCCGGGCCCAGGACGAGGTCGGTGATCAAATCGTCCGACATGGCAACGTCGGGCCCTGGCTCGATGGCCCCAGGGATGACTGGGATTTAGCGTTTGGGCAGAAAATGAAGACGTTTTAGCAGTTGGTTTATTGTTCCCCAAAGAGTGGATGAACCAATTGGAAAATAGGAAAACCATCAGCAAATGCAGTGAAATGGGAATATCAACAAGGATCATGTCATAAAGAGTCTGGGAGTCTGGGAGTCTGCCAAAAATAGCTCTAGGATAGGGCCAACTCAGAAGAATGGGGAAATGTAAGCCAACAATCAGTAGATGAACATCGATGGTTGGGCCGCCCATCCCTTCGTCAACTGGGCTCCGCTGCTGGGACGAAATTGGTACCGCAACAGGAGCCGCTTGTCGTCTGGGGAGATACCCAAGATGCAGCGGATGGGAAAGGAGAGCAAGTCAATCAACCTGCCAGGTGACGGAACAACATGAAAATTGGGACATTTTCCATATTCAAAGGCAGTTCACAATGAAACATAGACAACATGGGATAACATGGGATAACATGGGATCCTTGAGATTTCAAAGGTATAATCTCAATCAGTGGCCATTCCAATCAGATCCAGTGGTGCATGGTCACGTGCCGCCATGGGGTTTGGCTACTGGGGAACTGTCGAACATTGGCGGATCTTGGCACAGCTATTGTGGAGTTGCGGTACCATGAACGAAAGGAGTTGTGTTGAACTTGCTTTTGCTGTTGACTGACCCTCAAGGATTCCAAGTGCGCCGAGCAGCAAAGAAATAATGACCAAATGAGGAAGCAACCAGCATTGGCAAGCGTTTCCTCGGTGAAATTTGGAGGAAACATGAGGAACCATCTTACCTTCCAGTAATCAAACATGGCTGGATTCGAACATCTCCTACAAATGGCTGGTTTAAATGGGAAATCATCAAACTTAATGGGGGATGTTCCAGCAAGCCATGTCTACTTGCTGGAGGGTACATCGCAACTCCAGTAAATAATTTGCAAACGGAAACTTTCATACAGGGTTACAACCATACAACCATGGTGGCCAAGCCAACGAGTCGAGCAGTGATGCCGCCCTTCAAGTCGGTATACCAATGTCACAAATGGGTTCACTGACAAGGTTGTAACAAACCGATGTAAAGAGCAAACAGTGCTGTGCATATACGAAGTTTCCATAGATTCTTCCGAAAAAAAACAGATCCCAAGCAGAAAATCTCAATTGGTTAAGCAGCAAATATTGGGGATGATGTAGTTTCCATTGGCTGCTTAACCCCTGTAGATGATCAGCAAATTTCTAAACCACGTTCAGTATATATCCAGGACAGTGTATATTCCTTAACAATATTTTATTATCATTATATCTGGGTAAATTATAATATTTCACAAACCTGAATTAAGGCCATTTGGGGATGATTTCCCCTACTAACTATGATTTCCAGTGAGGTCGCAGTGAGGTCGTAATAATTTAACCAGATTATATATTATAAAACAATATATTTTAGTGTTATAAAATACTATATACTATCATCACTGGTTGGTGGTGCAATAACCATCTTAAAAAATATGAAAGTCAATGGGAAGGATGACATCCCATATATTATGGAACATAAAATTCATGTTTGAAACCACCAACCAGTTATGATATATCAATTTATCGATCTATGAATCATTGTCCATTGACCTATTCTCAGTCCCATCCTTCTAAAATTAGATACTGCCGATAGGGACCCCGAGATTATATCGGGGTCGAACTACACTTCACCAAGATTCACCAAGAGCAAATTTGTACCCTCTGGTAAACGTTTACATAGTTATGGAAAGATCCACCATGCTATTAACGGGAAAATCAATTATTCCTACGACCATTTTCAATAGCTAACTATTAAATTACCAGAGAGTAAATCCCATTAAAATAATTAAAATCACATTTTTTGTTGGTTAAATCCCATTAATCACCAGGTATTTGGAAATATCTGGAAACCACAGGCTCCGTTTACGTTCCGAAAGAATCTTTCTTCACCTCCGAGGCTCGGTGCATCTTCCGCAAGGTCCAAAAGACGGGTGTGCGATGGCCTTCGTTCACCACGCGCAGCAGGGCGAAGTCGCCCGCTTCGACGGCCTGAACGGAACGGCGAAGAGACCCAGGTTCAAATCGGGGAAAAGGCGGAGAAAAAAACATGGGAAGACCATCAAAATCATGGGAAAAACATCAAAATCATGGGAAAAACATCAAAAAAAGATAGGGAAAACATTAAAACCATCAAAAAAACACGGGAAAAGGATGGGAAAAGGGAGCCAACAATCAACAGAAAGAGAGCACATTTGATGGGTATAACTATATAACTTATTGCAAACCATTTTTTCTAAACAACTTCATTGGGACCAAATCTAAGATTGCTAAGTATTGTTTTTTGGCTGAATCATGCTGAATCGACTTTGGCCCAATGATTTCTAAAAGATTGGGATGTATGTAGCCTGAAACCATGTTTTAAATAGTACGGGTCAAGATTCCATTCCCCAATGAAATTAATCATCTTGATGATCTGCGGCAGAGTGACAGTAGCGGTGCCAGCTTCCATGGTTGTCTCCTGGGCTGGTCACCATGTGGAAATCCACATGAATGATGCACACGATGCACACGATGAACACGATGACGATGATGACGATGATGACGATGATGATGATGATGATTCCATTTCAAATGCTTCAGCAAACAAGCCTGGCAATGGACACCCACACGTCAAACCCACACATTGATATTCATCTGATGTTTTGTGTAACACGCACTATATGATATATACATTGTATCACACACACATTATATATGCATGTATATTTACACACACATATATATATATATGTTTATACAGATGCACACAACCTTGCATTCCATAAGATATTTAGATTGCCAGCAGGAGCCCCAAATAACATAGTTCGATTCTCATTTACAGCTCCAGGAGATGATGTTTCCCTTTAAAAACTCAAGTGGTGATGATCTGAGAATGTAAGATGGAGCATCCATACTTGGTGACATGCCTCTGTTGTTTAACAATCCTCTGCATTTTTGAGTTTGCACCTTTTTCTAATGTTAAAAAATCAGACCTAGACCTGCCAACTTCTCACCTTTTGACCCACCGGCAAAATCATCCTCTGCACCCGGCGTTCTCCTCCATTGCATCTGACACTTGGGTGATCTTCATAGCACGGAGCCAAATAGCAGCTGGAGATGTACCGGTTTAGTCGGGTTCAAAAAGCTGAAGATTCTCAAGTGAAAAATCAAGGAATAACGGTTTAAGCGTCATTATATACTTATACTGTAAGTATTCTTGGAGTATATTCTGTAGTTTTTGGATGCAAAGAAATATGGGATCAGTATATTTGTCTTGGGCAAGCACCTGAAAAAAACAGTGGGGCCAATTTCCTGTAGTGCTGAGTGCTGATGCGCTGGTAAAGGTGAAATACATTTACAATCCCTACAATTTCAAAAACATGTATTGTGTAACATTTGTCTTGTCTAAATCGACATATGCAGATTCTGCATATGCAAAGGCAAGACCGAACAAATACCATCCGCGCAAATCCCTGCATCTGTGAAGGTATTTTCTGCACAAGTAAACTGCACTCAAGTAATTTAATGAATAACCATTGATATATTATTTTCCTATGATTTTCCATGATATTCCCATTAAACACCTCCATTTAGTTCAGGGATTTCCCGGCGATGATGTCCTCCTCGCTCAAAACGAAGCCAAAGGCTGCATTGGACTCCTGTCGAACATCGTGACGTTGCGTGCGCCGGAACCTGTTTTTTTTGTTGCTCATGGAAATTGATGATTTACCCTCTGGTTATATCACCATTTTTGATAGGTAAATCATCATGTTTATCATCTATAAATGAGCCATTTTCCATAGCTATGATAACCAGAGGGAAAATTTTACAGAGGCAAATCAAATAACAGGATTTAGGAACTGAATTGTGGGTTCATCAGGATTTCAATCATCAACGCAATGCATTTGCTTGGGAGCAAATGGCGTAGAAAAATCTGCGCACATGCGTTTCGACCACCATGTGGCATTGGTTTAAAGACATTCCCGGACTACCAGCTTGAAAACAAGAAGCCTGGTGGAGCATGAATGATGTAATGTCCAAGCCACTGCTACTGCCTGATTTCTTAGTATGCAGCCATCTTGCTGGTCAATTCAAGCGATGGCCCCTTTATCAAACAGTACAAACTATCGATTCTATCAGTATCTGTCAGACTATCTGTCCATCTAACTACGTGAATCTACCTCTCGGTCTTGCTGGTAAATTACATGGGCTTCAGAAAGAAAACTCATCGGGGGCCCATGACCTTCCATCCGTGTTGAAAGAGGCCTTCCCAACAAAAATATCCACACAATGAGATGAAGCTGCCAAACATGATAACAAAAAATGACAAAGGCCATGCTTTCAGGCCTACAAGCAAGGACCGTCAAATCTTAGATGATTTGCACCAAGCCTTCTGCATGCAAAAGATGCGCTGTCCCGCTGTCCCGCATCTTCCCAAGTTATCCCCATGTCATTGCCAAAAAGATCAAGTAATGTGGTTAAAAATTAAACCAATGTCATAAACCACCCATAAAAAATGGTAGTAGAACATCACCTATTTATGCTGATGCCTGGGGGATGGTGAATTTACATGGTATTGTGAAAAACCAACATTTGTCCCCAGCGCGCTCCACTCTGGCGGGCGTTTTACTCTTGGGGATCATCACGAAGCCTGGTGAGCTGCCCAACGATTCAAGGGCAGGGATTCCATGCGGGACACCTGATTCAGGTCGAATGGTCATGCTGACAACCAAACCATCAAACAGCTAGTGAAACATGCCACATGTGTTTGCGCAGCAAAATGGGATTCAACCAGCAAACATCACAGGCTGGGAGATCCATTTCCAGACCTTTCTGATATTGGCCAAAGAACGGAATGCGAATGCCAGCGCTTTAAACAAACAAAGGGGTGGTGAAAACCGGTAAAATCCTGCTGCGTCAGAAAGTTTCTTAGGCGCTGATAGTTAGATCCATACATCCATCTACATGGTGAAACAACAACGAGATTCACGAAAACACCGGAAAACCACCATATATTAGCGCCCGCAGCACAGCAGATTTGCCGAATGCTACGACGTGTACATGAAAATGATGCTCACTCTTATCAAGTTCAATTCATGTCAAACAAACATAGTTGGAATATGTTGGAATATGGCTATACATGGCTGAATCGCCAAAAGACTTGGGTCCCATATGATCCCACTGAAGTTCTTGGATGTACAGTGTGCCACGGAGCTCGAACTATATGCCGCTGCCAGCTTTGTTTGTCCCCAGGTATTATATGCCGTTTAACACGGGGTGTTGGAAGACTACTTTCCTCTAAAACAAAGTGATTCTCAGGGTCTATGTTCATTCGGGGGATGGTCCAGCCCAAGTGAGGCACAGCAGCTTCATTTCCAGAATTTCAAAACAATCCAAAACATGGAACCCAGCAAAAGAAAAAACGGGATTTTCAACCGGGCTCTGATTGCATCATTTTGCATCATGTTCTCAAAGGGCCTATTGGATTGTTATAATATATATTAAGCTCTATTGGATCATGATGGATAATATAAATCCCATAGGATTATAATAGTTCAGAAGGGATGATTATTATTGGATTATTATAGTTATTATAGGTGTTCCTGGGATTACAACACCCTATAAGGGATGATTAATGGATGATTATGATTATTATAGGCTGGCTGGTGGTGCAATAACCATCTTGAAAATATGAAAGTCAATGGGAAGGATTATCTCATATATTATGGAAAATACAATTCATGTTTGAAACCACCAACCAGTAGGTGTTATATAACACCCTATTGGATTATGATATACCCTCTGGCTATTTAACATAGCCATGGACAATCCCTTATAAATGGAGGTTTCTAGCTGGGAAAATCATCTACAAATGGGCCATCTATACCATGGCTATGTTAGTCATAACCAGAGGGTAATCCCATTAAAATCATATTTTTTGCTGGTTAAATCCCATTAAACCACCATTAAATCACCTTTAAATCACCAGGTATCTGGAAATATCTGGCCCAAAAAAAGCCCACGCGCACCTCGTTGCAGCCCCCAGCGGATCGCCAGCTCCGCCGAGCTGCGGCGCCGCTGGAAGGCCAGCTGCTGCAGCTCCGAAGTTCGGAGCAGCTGGCCGCGCGCCAGGGGCGAGCTGGACATCAGAACGATGCCGTGCTGCTGGCAGAAGGCACAAAGCTCCTTCCTGGAGAAATCTGTGTTGAAAAAGGTCTGAAAATAGATTTGGGGATATAGTGGGAATGAATATAACCGGCAAATTGATATTTGGGTTTATCTGAAAATGGCATACACCCCCGAAATAGCAATGTTAGTAGGGCAACAATATTATAATTATAAACTATGGAATTTGGGGGTGCCGTATAGACGAACTTGGGGGAGAAGAAATAGCAAGGCCGGGGGTTGAAGTGGGGAAAAAGCTCAGCTGAAATAAGATAGATTTGATGATGATGGAATCATGATGGAATCGGAACGATCTTGGAAAGTTGCGATGGGTGGTGGCTTCCTTCCTGGGGAAACTGTTTTTTCCTTTACTGTAGTGCTTTCCTAGATGGGATAAACGACGATGTTCCAAGGAATCCAAACAATGTTGGGAAAGGGCACAAGGATCTCACCTGGAGATAAGGAACCTGGCAGTGTAGATTTGTGTCTCATAGAGTCACTGCCAGTCGTCCCCTGCAAACCAATTATATCTACCCGTATCCAAACAGTTAAAAATTAAACAAATCAGTTACCTTTCACCACTTAGCTCCGTTCTTGATGGTTCTACTGTTGTACTCCCCAGACTCCAGACTTTGTCATTTCACCCACCTTGTTTGATGCTTAAATTTGGCGTAGCCTCCAACCACTACTGGTGACCTTTCCACTGTCATCTCTTTTGTAGGTGTTTCCTATCAACCAAAAAACTACCCGCTGTGGGTGCTATGTCTAACATAACCATTTATGACCATACCCATATCTGCCCATAAATAATCAGACATAATCATCAATAGCCATAGCCATACCATCGTAAATGATGTGGTCAACCCAATAAACCTATCAATTGGGGATGATTCATAGCACCCATTTATAGTGATTTCGTTTTTTTTCACTATTGGGTTTACCACATTAAACGATAAATAACAACAAATAACCACAACTAACCAGCACTAGCCACATCCATCAGCTTCCAAGTCTCTGTTGGTTAGCCACATGCAGCTCCACCTGTAGGACCTGGAGATTTCGGGAGATTGGAGATTTACCACGTTGAAATGGTGGGATTTCTCCGGTTTGGATTCCTTTTTCGATACATCCAAATGATGATGGTTTGGACCACCATTCTCTATAATTATGGCAGGTAACTCCGTATAGAATCCCAATGCCGGCTGCTGAAAATTCCCTATATCTTCCGCCCTGAAAAATCTCGATATTGCGGCTTATGTGTCCTTTAATTTATACACTAGATCATACCAGTGTATTCCCGCTATATATCCCCAAAAAATACTTCTGGTGCTTAGTAGGGAATGGGAGAATGGGATGATTGCTACTAGTTATGGATTGGATCATTCCCCCCATTCCCTACGTTTTGCACCGGAAAGAATATCCCATTCTCCCACCATGTTTGTTGGTCATTCCCATTATATACCCATAAGAGATACCATTACCCTCTGGTAATTTAAGCTATTGAAAATGGCCATTTATAGTGAGTTTTCCCATTAAAAACGGTGATTTTCCATAGTTTTTTTTTACCAGAGGTAAATCACCATTCTCAGTCACAATTAAATCACCATAAAATCACCATTTTGTTGGTAAGATCACCACTTTCCAACCACCCTGGCCACACTTTCCGTGCCTGTGGCAATTCCCGTCCCGTTCTCTGCAGCGCTTCGAGCTGCGCGACGCTGAAGTTGCAGAGCCCCACGGCTTTAGCGAGGCCTCTAGCGCCGCACCGCACCGCGGCAAAAGTACTGGAAAAGTGGTAGGTTTTGAGGTTTTTGTATGGTTAAATATGGTTAAATGATGTTTTTACCGGGCAGTGACTCAAATTTTGCAAGATTTGAAGATGTGTCTGTTTTTTGATTCCGATCGCTTTCCAGTTGTTTCAATTGTTCTTGGGGCTGCTTATGTCCCCCTGGGTGGAAACCTGATGGTGAGATGGGTTTATCCTTCAGGCATATCGATCCAGATGATTCAGGGGTATTCAGTCTTTATGTGACACACCAAATGCCATAAGAATCGATAAAACAATTCATTTCAGATCATATAACTACCATATATTATCATAACCACATTGATCATGTTGTTAGCACATGAGTATCTTCCCAAATTCCATGAACATTAAATTAGTATGAATTAGTGATGGCATGTGATGGCTATCAACCCAGCCATGGTGCGGGGTCATTGCCACAGCTCCCGATGCCTCTCGCGTAATTGGAGCATAGCATCCCAGGTCCAAATGATGCTGCCACCCTTGGGGCTCTGAATGAGGTACAGGTCCTGGTGCCGCGGTGCTGCGGCAACCCCAAACCAAAAAAGGTGCCACAAAAAAGGGTGCCAATATTGATCCAATATGGCCATGAGCCAATGAGCCACCAGAATTTCTCAACGAGCTCGGAATATCGCCATCTTTCAGGGTGAGCATCTGCTACCATGGTTCCGCGGCCCTGCAGCCAGGCTGCGATAAAGGAAGTGCCCAGACGTTCCAGGGATGATTTCAAGGTATCTTCCAGGTCGTCTCCATGCCTCATCCAGAAACCATGGTGGTTTCTAAGGGGATACAAAGCACATCGGGACCATAGAATCTATTACCCTCTGGTTATTTAACAGTTCGCCATGGAAAGATCCACCCATTTTAAATAGGTAAACCATCTTTTTCTATGGACCATCTATACCATGGCTATGTTAGTCATAACCAGATGGGATCTGTTTGGGGGCGACCTGCGATGCTGAGCTGCTCGGAGGGCGGAAGTTTGCTCACAAGAAAGACCTCGCCGCGGCCGTTGATATGAAGGGCTGGTGGAAGCAGAAAAGGGGGGCTTGACTTCTCCTTAGTTGCGAAAAAGCAACATCACCTGGATGATGGTTTAAAGTTTTAACCCTTTCCCCAAACTATTTGTCACTTGGCATCATCATCCCTAAGTAGGATATCAAAACACCACATATCTGAAACCACCACAGAGTCAGATTCGTTCATATGAAATCCCCAGTGGGTCCAAAGCGCCAAATGTCAGAGTAACACATTTTTTGGTCATAAAATCTCCTGATGGTCAATCTTAGATACTTAGCTGCTGTTAGTTTGACATCTCCCAAAATATGCAGCGACAATCTTAAGGTTGGATTCAAACTTCCCAGTGAAACTACCCAATCCAGTAGGCTCGTAGATTCTTATCTGGTCGTTATCTGATATAAAACTTGATAAAACTTGACCCAGAGATAATGCACAATTTACACATAGTAATCCAGTCAATTGACCCAAACAGTAAGATTCCATACATATCATATAATTACATATATAATTGCTCTATAAAAACGATCAATCCAGTCACTATCTATCGATCTATCGATCTATCTATCCATCTATAAAGGGTCAATCCAGTCCATTGACCCAAACAATTTCCCCGATTTGAAGGATCCAACAAGCCCTGAAGGTCCAACGTGACTGGCTGAGCTGACCAACGTCCTCGCGCTTCAAGCCCGCCGCACGGATGCCCTGAGAAATCTCCTGGCGCTGAAGGTGGAAATGGACCCATTTTGGGAGAGTTTTTTTTCAATGGATTGGTTCAAGGGAAAATCTACAGGAAACCATGGTTTTTACCATCAAATATAGGGTTTTCCTGTAATTTTTCCCATCATCCAATTCTGTGATTTTTGAAGTGGTCATTTGGAAGACTAAGAAAACATCACACAGAATAAGGACTTCTGGCACTAGATACACCAGATACTTTAGATGAATATGTCAATGTCAAACCTGTGAATTATTTCGTAAGAGAGCGTACGTGTCGGATTGGTCATTCCATCTGTTTTTTTTGCAGTGAGCCTGTTCCTGGTTACAACGTTTTTATCGTGTCGTGAAAAAAGTCCGCAAAATGCCCACAAAGAACGGTTGTTCAACTGGTAACTGGTACGGGTAATCTTGTCCGAATGTTGCTACATTGTATATGTAATCGTGCTTTTGACTGGAAGTTGTTGAGCCCAGTTCATGCATATCTTAAAGGGTTTCCGTGCAAGTCTTCATCAAGGGGTAATCAAACCTGCCCCTTGGATAAGTAAATCTTTAATTACAATATCTATTCATTCATCCATTCATCTTTATTTACTCCATCTATCTACAAGCGTATGGTGATACTGGATGGATCTTAATTTACCATCTATCCATCCACCTACTGGATATCTAATGTTATTTACCAAACATGGGAAGGATATCTAGACAGATTTACAGCAATCATCGCCAAATGGATCCATCTATTTATATATCTAAGATCAATCCATTTACAAATATATATATATATATACACATATCATCACCAAATAGATAGATATCAATCTAAATTGTTATGTAGATTATCCAAAATAGATATTTCTCCATCCATCTATCTATCTATCTATCTGTCTATCTATATGTATGTGTAATCCAAACTGTCTGGAGCGGCGATTTCGTGCTCCACCTTTTCATTGCCAAAGCCGGGAGCGGTATCAATCAAACGGTAGCCACAACGCAGCGCACACTTCACCGCCTTCGGAAATACGCGGGCCATCATGACAGAAGAATAGCCTTGTATAATGGGATGTAATGGCTGCAATCTTGTGTTATAATGGTTGGTTGTTGTAATATGCTAAAAGGACCATGTATAACGGGATGTAATGGCACATTGGTTGTTCTAATGGGATGCCACTAATTTATGTGGCATTTCAATGGATTTCATGGGATAACACTAGATTGTGAGTAAAGCAATAATAAACCATCTATATTTTGATGGTTATGCATGTTTATGCTATCCATATTGCAAAACTCTTGCTTTACTCACAGTCACATTATGTACCTGGTTGGTGGTTTAGTCAGTCGGGAAGGATTATCCCATATATCATGGAAACTAAAAAATGTTCCAAACCACCAACCAGGTACTGTATTTGGGGAGATTTTGCATCCGTAAATCATCACAAATCATTATTTTGATGTCCGGTGCCAGGGTAAAGCTACCCATGGCCCTATGGAATTTTTAGAAGATAGAAAACTTTCAGGGATTCATGGGGGCTTTAAAGGTTGGTTCTATCAATATTATCAATGGGGAACTAATGGGGGACCAATGGAAATTCATAACCCAACGGATTGAATGAAGCTGAATTTGGGCAGGAAACTAGGGGTGTCACCCTCGGAATGTAAGACATGTCTTCAGTTTCAGCACGATAATCGCCTCCCCTGACGATTATATACCCCCCCATGTGGCCATCCAATTCATGAATAGGTCAATTACTAAGCCTTCGGGGTTCTCTGGGGGCATTTAAAACTTGGGGAAAGCAATCATCCAGAACTACAATTAACTCATGGCAACATAGAAAGATAGATAAATAGACAGGTCGATAGATAGACTAGATAGACTAGATAAACAAACAAACAAACAGATAGATAAACAGACAAACAGATAGATGGATGGATAGATAGACAAACAGACAGACAAACAGACTAGATAGATGGAATGCACAATGAACATGATAATAATGATGCAAACATAGAAAATGTTTTGATATGTGTCGCTAATACTTCTTGATACTTGATGAGTTTATATGAATTTGACATAACATTGGAAATATATGTGAATAGAAAATGAACTAACAGTGGTATCACCAACTAGCAATATATATATGTATGGTTTATCTTAGATACCCGGCAAAAACATGTTGAACCCGCCCATATATGACAAACAATCAACTTGCACATCTTCCCAACCAAGACATAAAGCACATGGAAAATCCTTATGACATGTGTAGCCTGTGTGAGTGTCAACCCTGAACTTTCGTCGAATGCAAATGGTGGAGACTGCAATTGGATGATATCAATCTGCAGTTAGTTGCATCAATGTTAACAAGTTGTCAAATCAATGGTATTAACAATGCCAACACAAATTACCAAAATACTTTAGAAAACACTAGAAATAGAAACACTTCGTATACAGAGATATATAGAGTAGATATGAACCACCCCATTTTAAGTGTTCTAAAGTGTACTAATAGTTGAACCACCCCAGAGATATATAGAGTTCTCTCATATAGCATTTTGAAACCACCCGGCCCATTTTTTGAAGCGTAATGTCAACCCCGGATTAATAAACCAGGTTTCGAAAAATTAGGGGGGTACTCCTCGAATAGTCATGTCATCCAATATACTTTTTTATGGTACCCCCCATTTTTCACCAACCGTTTGGGGTTTATTAATCCAGGGTTGACATTAATAATTTACCATAGATGAACTATGTTAAATGCACCATAAACCAGTTGACCCCGCTATTTTCATCAACCAACCAATGGGAATTTGGGACATCCAAGCTAAGAACAGCACATCCAAGAAACCGCCGCCTCGCGACACTCGGCGCCTTTCAACTGCCGCGTGCCCAGGCCCAAGACAGGCATCCGAGAGCCAGCCAGGTCAACCTCGGCACCGGGGAACCTGGAGAAAAACATCGGAAAATCATGGGAAAAGCGTGGGAAAATCCATGGTAACTGGAGGTTTTTAATGGTTTTTAATGGTTTTAATAGGAAAATCCTGGAAAACTATGGGAAAACACGGGAAAATGGGGGTAGCATTTCTGGGACATGGAGGTTTTTTCCATCAATCAGTACGGATGTAACGGGATTTCATATACCATGAGATAATCAAACATGGCTGGAAAACCCCTTTGGCAATTCAACAGTGTGATAATCATGTGGTATGGAAAATTGCCCAGAATCTGGATGAATTAGAACAATTCACACACCTGAAATAAGAATTGAACAGGCTACTGATTAACCCCATTACCATTCGCCAATCAAACATGGCTGGCTGGGCAAGCCAGGTAATAATGGGATTTTGACGGTAAATGAACTCTTATGGGATATGTTTAATACATTTCTGTGGACAATGTATGTTCATAACAATGGACAACAATGGGATAATCTATTGTCTGAAAAGTGTGTGCCCGCTAAAGGAAGACCTAAAGGAATCCTCCATAATTATTGACAAAATACGGCATGCTTTCCTTTAGGTTTCTAAGTAACCAACTAAGCAACACCATTTTGACCCTCAGTGGACCTGTGACACATTGTTTAAAGTATATAAGTATGGACAAGCATGGAAATCTTGAGGTAAAAAGCTCAAAGTTGCGCTAAAACACCCGTTGCTACAGGAAACTTGATGGCCTAGGTAGATGCTTAGTGAGTGGACTTGAAATCCATCAGCTGAATCCACCGCACTCTTTCGTCATTGATCCAATGAGATGAACTATCTGCCGCGTAGTCTACGGCACAACGGCACAACGGCGTCGTTGAATGCCGAAAAGATCCGAAGAGTATTCCGGGATGATGGTTTTCCATGGTTTTTCCATGGGTTTTCCAATGTTCTCCCCACCATTTCCAGGCTGTTTTCCAAAGGGCAAAACTCTGGAAGTTCAGGCTCCTGCCGCTCCATTTTTTGGCTGGAAATGCCAGCAATCACCCAATCATCACAGGGATTCGACCTCCAAATGGTAGGAAAACTTGGGGGGATTTAGGCGGAGGTTTCCTAAAATGGAGCTACCACCAAATCATCCAAAATTGCTTGTAACCAATGGGAAAACCTATGGTTTAGGGCTTTAGGGTACCCATATTTCAGGAAACCTCCATATGGCTATAGTCGATGAAAATGTGGTAAACCTAATGCCATCCCATTTCTGATGTGAAAGGCAGAAGCATATAAAATCCACCAGACCAGTACCTAGTGACCTACTGTAATTAAGTGAGCATGGCCTATGCCAAAGTTGCCATCTCTGCTACAAGTTTGGGATGTTCACCGTGGTGGAACTCAAACAACAGTGCAAACTTTGGTTTGTTCATGCCCCTTACTGAACGTATAAACGAGATAATTGCTGGTGCTTTAAATCTAAAACCTGTATTACATCATCATCCAAACATGGATTTGCTTACGGAACCACCAACAAATAAGTTCCATATTCCCTTTAAGCCTTAATCGATTCCCCAGTGGATTTCCCATAAAGAAAACAACAAAAATCATCTTCAGCAAATCCAAGAAAACAAAATCGATGTCATGACGTCGTCTCCTGCCACTGGGAGCTGCCTCTGTCGCCATACCAACGGCAGTGGCGGCTGCGCTTGGCCGCGACCAGCGGCTGCCAGCGCCTCGAAGCGATCCGACTCACCCGGGTTATCCAATGGTGAGTCGGTGGTTTGGAAGCGGAAGAAAATTCTGCATATGTATATGCATAAAAGTATGTAATATGTATATATATATATATGTATACTGTATATATGCATATGTATGTATATTACATTCATCCAACCATGGTAAATAATCAAATAATCACGCCCTGAAAATTTGAGATGGAACCGACAACATGCGAAATTGAAACTGGCAAATCATCTTCCAGATGCAATTCCAACTTCCATGATAGCCAGGAGGAACGCAGGCTCCCACAGCACCAACTCAAGCCGCCATTGTAACCACCAATCAACTGTTGTTTGAAACGGTCTGCCAAAGGGGGTGTATCAATCCATCTTGAAGAAGAGGCTTGGCGTGTTGCAAGATTTGGCTTGCATGTGTCCGAGGGTTCACTTACCATAGGAACCGTTCGTAAGTGGATGTACTCTTCAAAAGCAGCATGGAACCCGAGAAATGTGGTTTGGAAATTGATTTTGCCGTTGGGCGTGGCCATAGATACATGAATTTATCTGAAAATAGCAACCACATTTGATGCTTTTAAAAACTTTCGCCATCAAAACTGATATGTCCATCTATTTGGGGTATCCTTATTCTTGGACAAACCAAAGCATCATAATTTGCTACGGTATATACTATCACATCTCCCACAGCATATGCATGCCCATATTCAGGCTGGTTGTAACCCAAAAAATATCTCCATATGAAGTGGCCTAATCGTTTTTATACCCCATCATAAATCACAGTTGTCATTGTTTTTTCTTTCCTTTGTTTGTTGATGAATTCCTTACTGTCAGGCACAACCAAAGCAAATTCATTCTATACATACATGCGAATACATAAATATAAAAATAAATACATAGATATAAATATAAATATAAATAATATATATATATATATACACACGTTACCAACAACAACAACACCAACAACCAACAACCAACAAACAACAAACAACAAACAACATCATCATCATCATCAACAACCAACAACAACACCAACAACCAACAACCAACAACAGACATACAAACAGACATACCATACATTACATTACATTACATTACATTACATTACATACATAGATAGGTACATACATACAACATACAACGAACAACGAACAACAAACAACAAACAACAAACAACAAACAACAGCAACAAACAACAGCAACAAACAACAGCAACAACAACAACAACGACAACGACAAGAACAACGACAACGACAACAACAACAACAACGACAACAACGACAACAACGACAACAACGACAACAACAAAACAAACAAACAAACAAACAAACCAAACAAACAAACAAACCAAACAAGCAAACAAACCAAACAAACAAACAAACAAACAAAAAAACAAACAAACAAACAAACAACAGCAAACAACAACAAACCAACAAACCAACAAACAACAACAAACGACAACAAACAACAACAAACAACAAACAGCAACAAACAACAACAAACAACAAACCAACAAACAACAACAAACAACAAACCAACAAACAACAACAAACAACAAGCAACAACAACAAACAACAACAACAACGGCAACAACACCAGCAACAGCAACAACAGCAACAGTAACAGCAACAACAACAACAACATCATAAACATACAACAACACCATCAACACACAACAACATACAACAACATACAGCAACAAACAACAACATACAACAACATAGAGCAACACAGAGCAACATACAGCAGCAACATACAGCAGCAACATACAGCAGCAACAAACAACAGCAACACACAACAGCAACATACAACATACCACAACAACAACAACAAACCAACAAACCAACCAACCAACCAACCAACCAACAACAACAAACAACAAACAGCAACTAACAACAAACAACAGCAACAACAACAACAACAACAACAACCAACAAACAACGACGATAACAACAACGATAACAACAACGATAACAAAAACCACAACAACAAACAACAAACAACACACAACAAACAACACACAACAAGAAACAAACAACAAACAACAAACAACACACAACACACAACAACGACAAAAAACAACAAAAACAGCAGCAGCAGCAGCAACAACAACAACAACCACCACCACCACCACCACCACCACAACCACACATACCTTTCATTTTCCTTGTGCTGATCCCCTTTTTGTGCCGTGTCCAAAAAGGGGCCCGCCGCCACCTCAGCTCAGACCTTCACCTTTTTCCCGGTGCTGGACCCCCTTTTGTGCCGTCAGCGGCCTGGATCCTCCAAAAAGGGCCCACCGCAACCTGACCTCAAACAGGCTGTACCTATGTTAGCTCTCTCTGTTCCTTGCTCTCTGCTTTTGGCTGTTGCTCTCTGTGTGGCAGTTGTTGTCTGGATATACGCCCCCTGTCCAGAATTTGCAGAGCATACCCTTTATACCAGGGTCTGGAAATTCCGTGCCATTGCTGCCACTAGCGCTATCAGCCAAGTCTCGCCGATGCCAATCTGGCAAAACGTGTCATGAAGATATTCTGTGTCATTTGTGTCTGCCGGATAATGAAGCATGTTGCATCCAAATGTGGGTCCGCGCCTTTGAAGCGCCTCGTGAAAGGACTATTGCAGACGTGACGTGGAGAAGGACGATCCACCACAATGATGTTGACAATGTCCAGGAACTGAGCCTGCAGAAGGCAACAAGCCTGCATACAAAATCTCTGGCCTGCATCCCAGGCACTCTGCTTTGCATTCAGGCCTCTGCTGCCTCAACGGATGATGCCGCTTTGTCCTAAGCAGCTGGCATCGGTCGATCGAAAGAAAGTTGGGCATTTTTGGCTCGTGCTTCTGCCCCTTGCGTAGGCACGCAATCTCGTTAAGAAATATGGTAAAACATATGGAAGCAGGCTTTCCAAAGTGACATGAATTAGGCTTATAATGTTTTGCTCTCTCCAACCCGGCAGTAGCAACGGTGAGAAGCAAAGGAAATAAAATGGAGAACTGCCGCGCACATTCGGCATGGAGATAGAAACACAATAGGATTCCCCATACGCAGTATGCCCAAACCATGTAATGAGCCAGAAAGCTTGAGAACTCTCATGTTCCAGTTGCGCCCCTGCAGCTACCCGTTGGATGCCTCGATGCACGACTGGCTTGCGGCGACCCAAGCATGACTGGAAAACATTGCTGTCATGCCTTCTTGCCGAACAAAGGGATTTGGATATACTATAAGATTCACCAGAGCAATGTTGAATTTCATACATATTTGTCTCTAGCTCTGTTTCCAGCCAAAAAAATAACCAGTATGCGTAGATATAAAAAAACACACTAGAAGCCCAAATATGTCTGCATTCCTGATTCGTTTCTTCGCTGTTCCACCATAGCTAAGGGGCCGTACCTGAACATATTAGCTTTGCGAGATTGAGATGACAAGTCCAACATAAAGACCACCGAGGCACGGTGCATCAGCGCCTTAGGTTCATTGGTGAAACGTCTAGCTGCTAAAAGGATGCCGACTAAATGTTGTCAAAATGGTGACAAGACGTAAAAGTGGATTTGTGGCATAAGAGATAGGGGGCGAAATTAAGTTGGCATTTCTTTTTCATTTTTTTAGTCGTCCAGGCTCCATTCCTTGGTTTTTGCAGCTAAAATCTCTCATTTTCTGCATTTTGTAGCTAAAATCTCTCATTCGGACTGTTCAATTTTTCCACTGGTTTCAGGATTCGTTTCCATGGTTTTCTTCAATTTTTCCAATGAAGCCACAGAAGCCACCAGGAGCCAGGACCCCCCTTACGCAAGAGCCTTATGGCCCTAATAGCAACAAAAAGGCTGCAAGCGAAGAACATCAAGACGGTTTCAACTGCTCCGCTGCCTTTGGGATAGCTTCACTGCCAGGCAAGTTCCACGGTTTGCTCGTATAGACGACTATCTATGAATGAACCTGGTGCCTTTGAACCTTTTGTGGGTAACATTGAATCAGTGTTAAAGCGAGGGATTGCAACGCCGATCACGTACGAGCCTTTGAAATACAATAAAATTGTCGCCTTCGCGAACAGGAAATATTTGGACCCTTGAAAAATACGCGGACCCTACGCAATAAGCTGTGCATAGACCCCTACGTGTTTAAAAAAACGTAGGCCATATGCGCACATGGAGTGACACAGGTGGTAGCTTTGTTTTATGATAACTTAAAAGGATTCACGGTATTGCGCACATAATCAAAGTATGTCAAATCAAGTCTTTTTAAATCCAAACGCACAAA